TTTATATCATTACATAATTTGGGAGCAGCTTACGCATTTACGATTACATGAAACGAATGGAATAAAGAATGTGAAAAACATTGAGAAGCACCAAGAAACAATAGCGGAATTTGATGGTACACATTTTTATCTCACACAATATGAAAAAAGACGGTTTTTATGAACATCAATCGTATATAAACGATGCATGAAAAAAATATTCAAACAAATTCCGTCCATTCATGGAAACATGCTAAAAATGTTAATCTGTTCATTGAACAATGGCAGTTTGTTCATATGTGGAAATATGCTAACATGCAAATAGCCACATTTTATGATAATAATTGGATTTTTTTTTGCGTTGACAAGTGAACGTATGTATATATAATGTGACAACATACTCAAAGTCGCTCAAAGTTTATAGCTAGCAATTATTTTTGATTGGTTTTGTTCACGAACAATATCAATTATCCAATTGGTGAATGTCAAATATTTGTACATTTTAGTTGTATGCATATATGAGTATTGGCTAGAGCAATGGCTAGCCAACCCAAAATAAATACACATAAATAGCGTTTATCGAAAGCATTACTGCGTCAAGTGCATTTATATGTGATGAAAATGTTGAAAAACAGGTATACGGATCAAATGATATTTTGTGACTGGTTTGTGATTAACTTTCATGGGCTGGATATTGAATACAGTTTGGACTGATAGTTTCTGAAGTTGAAGATTTTAGGGAGATGGAAATAAGTGAAGTGGAAAAGAAAAAGTCCTATCTAATGTAAACTTCATCTTTGGGAAATTGGACAAGCAAAAAAGGTTCACTTTTTTCGCAAAAACTCTTGCAAATGGAGAAAAACTGAAGTACAAAAATCTTCAACTAGGTCAAAATATCCCTAGCAAATCGAAAGAATTTTTTTTTACAAAATTCATGATTGTATCGTCAGAGAGGGTTTAACTGTAATTTCACCGCTTTCATACACCGGTCTTGAATGTCAATGATTTTATACATAAAGCAACAACAACACAGTACAATTTTTTAGTTGCTGTGTGACATTCAAGAGGGACGGTACGGAAGTATATACGACTATACGATTGTACGACTGCATACGTGTGAGTCCATGTCATTATCCATGCCCGGTTTCCGCAGACAAAGCCAGAATTCCTTTTACATCTTGGCAACAGCCGTCATGGCTTTTGACCTGGTGTCCGAGGATCAGATTATCCTACGCTGGAGATCGGATTTGAAATTACACCTTTAAAAATTGTGGAAATCTTTTTGACGATAGAAAATTTTCCTCCCCTTGGTAAGCCGAAATCTTTCCTTGTTTATGTGTTTGCGTGTAATAAAGTACATGGAGTGAATATTTACTAATTTTGGCGATTGGGTGACATTTTGAGGATAAAAAGAAAATGAGCTTAGAAAAAGATATGATACAAACGTGTCAACTGATTACTTATAGCATATAATTACATCGATTCATTAAATGTGAGAATTGAATACCGTGTAGAATAACTATTTGGTATTCTCAATTTGCTGATTAACCATTTTCGGTATCCAAAAAGCTTTTCTTTTTTTTCACATTATCTACTGTTTCATCCACACACAGGTAATTCAATGAAAGAATTTGGCTGTGATTTTCTTATGAGGACATTTTTGAGATTGCGATTGAGCTGAAAAATAAAATGCTCGACATTTAGGTGAGCGCATTTTTCACTTTCAATTTGTTGTCACTTGATCCTCCACCATCATTCACACTCGTCGTTCTCATTTGGATGTGCGTGTGCATGGCATCGTGCAAAAGTGAATTAAACCTGAATACCAATTGCACTGAAGCACAAACTGTGCACAAACACACACATATACACTGACACTGACACCGACGCCGATACACACATCCAGGCACACGATGCACATACAAGACATTAAAGCAAATGGGATTTCAAACGACAAAGTGTTGATTTTGTTATTCACTCCATTATATTGATGAACTAAAAGGGCGCACAAAAGCTGTCCACTTTTCTTTTGACTTACAATTAAAATAAAACCGCCTTTTTGCTGGTTCACATTTGTCATTTTCCGTATTTTAAAACGAAATGGAAAAACATCAAACGCAAACACATGCCATAAACAAAAGAGCACCAACGACAAACGAATCTACTATACACACTGAAGAAGGGGAAACATGTACATCCGCACACAAGCAATGCTGTGTGTGAGAGAGAGAGAGAGAAAGAGAGAAATAGACTGGAAATTTGAATATTTGTTTGTGCCTCAGTGTCAGAAGTGAACAATGTACACGTAAAAAATGTGAATTATAAAAGTGTTTTTAAAAAGTTTCATTAAATGTTTAAATTGCGTTGCTCATCATTTAGTGTTACGAGCATATCAATTTGTTACGCTGCACATATTATTCATTATCAAAATGGTCTAGGTCTTGTTCAGCCCCTAGAAGGAAATTTTAATTTTATTTAGAGTTTTATCCGGGCTCTTTTTTTACGTTCACCTTTTAACTTCTCGCAATACAGAATGATGCTACTATTCATTGGCTTTTCATTTATGAATTTTCTCTTCAGTGCTTTATCCATTCGTATCATTTTTCTTTTCTCTGTCTTATTTTACAGAGAATTTGTCATCATCTTTCTAGCGCTTTCGTTTGACTTGTTTTACTTTTCAATATGTTTGGTTCATCTGAGTAAATGGCATCAACAGAAAGAAACGGAAAAGTGAAAAAATTGACGCTTTATTTTTTTTTTCTGTGTGGCATTTATTTTAGTTTTTATGCACATTTCTCAAGCTCACCTTTTGAAAACAACCCTGGGCGATGTATTTTCTTAGAATTCTTTCATATTTAGATGTAAGCATTTCATTTGAAAACCATATGACGGAACAATATTATTATTGTTCATTGCTCGCTGTTGCATGAACGAATGGCATATCGTTTGAGAATCTCTTACTCACGCACATGCACTGACAAATAAATACGACCGGCTCTTTCTTCCTTGTTTTTCTCACTACGCTCATTACACTAATTTACCGTATCAAAACGATTTCAAAAATTAAAATCTGTTATCACGCTGTTCCATTGGAAAAACACCATTTCTATAGATTAAAAGCACACGTTGATGTATTCAAAAATGAGAAAAACATTGAATCTGACATTTCGGAATGACAGTCTTTATAAAAAAAAATTCTCTTGTATCGTCTTATTTATACGCTTTTGATGCTTACATATTGTGTCTTTTAATTATTTTCGATATAAAAGTATGCGTGTATCTATGCGTGAGGAGTGCTTTCCTTTTTGAATAATGGAATTTGAATTTAATGAGAACTCGCAAGCATAATGAGATTTTGGATGTCACGTTGAATTATAATTTGGCAAGATTAAAGCGGCGGTTCTACCACACGATACATACAGATTTTGAACGAAAACAACCGCTTCGTGTTAAATCAGCCAATTTTTTAAATTTGTTTTCAAAGAGACACACATCTAAGGCATCTGAGTCAAACCATTGAAACTAGACATTATATTGAGATATTTTCAGCCAGCTGAATCAGTTCAGGGAGCTTATATTCAGAAACAAATGACTGATTGAAACAAATCTAATACCTACGCTTCGACTCAAATCTAAAACCATCTTGACTTGAACGTGATTTGCACACAAAATTGGTTATTTCAATTCTGAAAATATATTTAATCTCGAAATTCCATGTGCCTTTCTTTGGACATCACAAGAGCAACACATGTGACAATGCAATCACAGACAATTTTATGAAAATGATGCGGTAAATAAAGTCGCTTATATTTTCATAGACCGATTAAATTAAAATATTTTTTTTACGTACGAATATATTTTCGTCTATCTATCGCTTTATCATTCATGTGATGATTGTAGCGCTGGCTCATTAAATAAAAGATATTATTTGAAAAAGCAAACATTTTCACCCATTTTAAAATGAATACACAAATTATAATATGTCCTTGTTTTAATGTGTCTGTCTATCTCGTTAAATGCACAAATTGTTATAAAGTGTTATTAATTACTAATTAACTAATTTTTAACTTATTCGGCGGTGGATAAATTAAGAGGTGTTGCAAAATTGGATTAAAATTATATAATCACGACGAGCAAATAAATAAATACAAATATTTTTTACTTTTAGCCACTGTAATTGTTGCATTTTTATCTCTGGGTTAATTGAAAGTTGTGCAATGTGGTATTCACAGTGAATGCTTAATTGCACACAAATTTGAGATATGAATTTAAACATTACAACTCATACAACACACATATAACACCAGTGTTGTTCAACTCTTTTTTTTAATTTCAATTGTATTTTACTCGAATTCCACTAAAGTTTTTTGATTCATCAATATTTTTAAATGTGCAAGAGAGAAAGTGATGAGAAAAAATTGCACACTTTTCTTTTTTTCCCCGCCAAATAAACATGTGCCATAAATGTTGTTTTTCATTTCTGTGGCAGAAATGTGAAGCGAAAAAGAGAAAAAGCAATCATGAAACGATGACAAAAAAATAGATGCCATGAAATATTTTAATAGCATGCGAACCATAGATGATGACGTAAAATTTTTTAGGGGGGGTGATGGCAAAATTCTGTAGGGGTTGCTGGAAAGATCCATGAGGGTCCCTGACGATGTCAACAATTTGTACGAAATGACGATAAAATCGTTTTTTTTGCTCTTCACTTTTTTGGCGAAAATCCCTAGCAAAACAAAAGAATTTTCCTACTTCAAATTGCCTTGCAAATCAAAAAATGACACAAAAATCGTTTTTTTTTTTTGGAAGTCACTTTTTAGGTGAAAATCCCTAGCAAATCGAAAGAATTTCTCGGCAAAAAAAAGGTCCTCATTTCCAAAATTGTTGAGGGTTCCTAAAAATATTTTGAGGGGGTCATCCGACCCCTAGGAACCCTCGTCATCACCTATGATGCGAACGTTATTTTGATGTTGTTGTTGTTGTTTTTGCGTGTTATAAAAATGTATGCAAGTATTTACCTGACAACAGCTGGTCCGCTTCCCAACTCGAATGCAAATTCGACGAATCCATTATTCAAGCTCAGCGATATGTAATCCCCATACTCATGATGACCACTGTATAGAATGAGCCCATTTTCGGATTGTGGCTTAACAATTATCTAAAATGAAAAACAACATGGTAAATTCAAAAGTGTTATTTATTTAATAGGCTTAAAATGTATATGTATTACTCGGTTGCCTCCGTCCGACGTATTTGAGCGACATTTACTATGCACAACTTTATAATAGCCGAGGATAACCGAAGCGCTGCACTTCTTTCAATCACGCGTTAATCATTTATTCAAAGATTTATTTAATAATTTTCGCAATAAGTTTCAAATTGTTGACTTGATATTTATATGTGAGCGAGCAAAACAGTGATGAAAATGAGAGAAGAACAACAGTCATTTTGAAAATATTAAAATAAATTGTTGACACTTATTATGATGAAGAAGTAAGTATTAAATAAATTGCTTTCATTCCATTTGAGGACTTATAAAATTAATTGAGTGTTTAATTTTTTTTTCATTGAATCATTATGTCTCATTCAAAATGGTTCGAAGGGCAAAAAAAAAACGAAAAAATAGCATAAAACAAAATTACCGTCGCAACTTTAAATATTTAAAGAGATGTCGCATCAGAAAAGCGATTGAAAAGTCATCCGATTACTTCGATCGAAACGTTTACAAAATATAATTTCCCTAATAGATGAAATAATTGAGCTGTTTTCTTTGGCAAACAACGTTTCTCGTTTGAGCAGAGTGAATTTTGCTTGTTTTACATGCAATTTAATTTGCATATAAAATGAGTATATGGTCTCCCTCTTTCACACATAAAATTATGCTTTCAACGATATCGCTCAACGTTTATGTACATACGTTCGGTATATGTCGGTATATGTGCTTCAATCGAAAAGTGATTTAATTAAACCACACGTCCAGTGTCTACTAAATTTCATAAATTTTATCGTACATGGTTGCGGCGGAAAACGAATGAGATCAATTATGAATTTGTGAATGAATATGACATCGAATTGAAACAAACCGTACAACATATTTTAACGAAATTATGTGAAATTTGGCTTAAATTCAGATTATTTTCAATATTTAAGCTCTTGCGCTCGCAATATTATAGGAGAAAATGATAGATGAAAACCAAAAAAGAGAGAAAAAAAAACAATTTCATTCATATAATTTATATGGCTATAATACAAATAAAATTAAAATTTTATTACAACCAACAATGCGATTTTCCACCTGATGTATTTCGTCCAATGAATATTGACGTCATCGCATAAATCACCACAACACCAAATACAGTTCAAATAAACGTGCAACAGCGTTGAATTTCAATGCGAGAGAGATGAGACGAAGAACCATTAGCCGCTGTAGAATGAAATCCCATCCACATGGACTCTCTTTTTGGATAAATGTATATGTATGAGAAATACACTCACACATGGACGCAACAGTGAACAAAAAAAATGCAGCTTAAACAAAACGGCATATAATGCTTGAGAGATAATTTATAAAATGTCGATACATATATGCTATAGATTTGTATAAATTGGAAAATGCATAAATAAAATCGAATAAAATAACGTTTCACGTTTATAAAAATTAATTTTGGTTCCGGCCATAAATTTTCATTGAATACGATATTGCATGATTTCGGCATGTATTACAGTTTTGGTCGCATGTGAATGTCACACCACATACCACCTCTCACTACATATGGTTTTTGCAATTGCCATGCAATCATTTTACCTGAATGTGCGATTTGAGTCAATTTTATTTAATTTTTTGTTTTCATATACAATTTTTTCGGGGTCTTTCATACGGTGCCTCCAACATCATTTTTTTTTCTACGAGAGAATTTTTCCAATTTTACTTCTACACCGTACTGACAACGGATCCAATCTCTCGTTAGTGATGTTCGTGTGTGGCGTATAATTTGATGTACCACGGTCGTTCGATGTGTTGTTATCCACTTTAACTTCGTCATTTTTTGACAATTCGCTTTTAATGTGATTTCTTGTTCGTTTCTTTACCATTTTTTTTTTTTTTCGTTTTTGCTCGTCCTTCTTTTCTCCATCCCTCCATCACTCGAATCAAAATTCTGTTCATCCATTTTTGAGCGTTGTCGTCGTGGGAATTTAACATTTCGTTACCGTTTAGCATGTACAAGCCAAGCTTAACTTGAATTCTAACATGACGATGAAAAAACATATTGAATTCGACAACCGACCCGAATGAACCATCGAAGCAAAAGTATCGGAATGAAGCCATTGTCAATTGCAAGTTGTAGTCTGTTTTTCTTTCTCTATCTCTCCGTCAATATGTGCGTATCTCAATTGACTGCGACGAAAAGCTCTAATTGATTTATTGCAATTCGTTTGCAATGTGCCCGAGCAAAAGCTTAATGGAAACAAATCGCATTTAAAGGGTAAAGTAAATCTGCTGGCAAAAACGTTGAAAGTAGAGAGTGTAAGTGAAATAAGAATCGAATGTGCACAGGGTGTTGTGTACTCTCTCTCTCTCTCACTATCTCTCTCTTCAAATAATATTTACTTCCTGTTCGATTTCGCCGTAGTTAGATAGAGTGCATTTTATGTTACGTTCTGTTTCGGATGCTTTGTTGTTTACATCACATGAATTTCAAGTTGTCTCCGTCTGATCGGTCTCTTTTTTCGTTATTTTTGTTGTTGATAATGCTGCGCTATAGTTGTGAAGTGTCGTAACCGAAGGGTGTTATACAATATTGGCACTTTTGTTGTTTTCTTCACATTTTCCGAACGCAGTTCGTAACAATGCTATTGAAAAGATGTGTTATGTACGGGTGTTACTTTATATGGTACGCGCATTGTTTTAGACAACGATCGTTGACTACAAATTCGTAAAGAAAAACCATTTACATGTCATTCCGTCACTTGTTGTTTTGTGTGTTTTTAAATCGAAACTTTTAATAGAATAAAGGCGGAAGTCACACCAAAATTCTATTAGTACGGCAAATGCGAAAAGAATAGCGCCTGTGTGTGTTGTAAGCATGTGAACAAGTGTACTGCTCAATGTGACTGTATCATAAAGAATACGACTTTTTCACATAAACACACACACACACACACACTCTCACTATCTCTTTTTTTTATTTTTCATTAATATGAGATTGTAAGGGCCATATATCTCTTTCGTAAAATTCCATCGGTTGGTCGGTTGGTCGGTTGGCTGGCAAATATTGCTGCATACAATGCATTGACTAAGGGTTTCTCATTGTCGCCCTTTCCTCGTTCGTTGTTTTTTTTTTGCTGCTGCCACTGCTGTGTATCTCATTCTCTCGCATGAATTCCGGAGATACAATTATAGCGATACAAACGCCAGCAGTGTAAGAAACAGAGAATAGCCACACCATGATGTGTGAGAGTTGAAGGCGATGTGTGTTAGATATGTTGTTCGATTGTGATGATAAAAATACATAGCACATATTATTGGCAACTCAGTGTTTTATATGAAAACTTTTTTGTTCTTTTGGTCTTTTGCTTTGTTTACTTGTGAAATTACGACTGAATGCGCACATTCATAACATACCAGTAAAATAGCTACGAAGCTATGTAGCGATGTATATTATATATGTTTCAGTGAGAAAGAAAAATGGAATAGAGACACAACAAAAACATATAGGCGAACAAAGTAAAAAATGAAAAAAAAGGGAGCCGAACAGAGAAATAAATTGATTCTAGTGGCAAAATTGTAAAAATTGCTCTTTTGATACGAGCGCATCCGTACGCTCCAATAGTGAGAAAAAGAACGGAGAAAAGTACACACAAGTGGCAAATCAAAAGAGCGAAGAAGATTTTTTGGGTTTTTTAAATAGAAGAAAACATTGAATGCACACAGTTTCGTTTTGAAGTTAAAGTACAAAGTCTGAGATCAATGATTATCATTATCCGTTGTTATCAGATTTTATCCATATAAAAGTGTATGGGTTTTCCTTTGAAAATGCATTGCACCGCACGCAAATAGGCAAAACAAACTAAAGCTCTGCAAAGCATAATACTTTGCTGTCGTCTTTTTTCTATCTATATCGTTTTTGAATGAATTCACTCACGTTTTCCTTTCTATCCTTTCGTTTCGCTGAGCTCATTTTTCACTTGCACGCTCAATCGATTGCTGACGACTTCCAACTGAAGTAAGAAATAAGAAAATAATTTTGGATAATATTTGCGATGTGAGAGCGCCTAATCGCCAATTTGAATAACGAATCGTCTCATATATGTGACACAAAGGCAACCATTAGATCAAAGCAATTCGTGCGAGTATAATTTCCAAAATAAAATACGTATCGCGTGCCAAGTTATTCAATATTTTTCCCATTGGTTCGATTTCGTTGGTCCGGCATTTTCGTCGACGTTGTATTCTTATTCTTTTTTGGTGTGTGCGCTTTTTCCTCTTCTCTCGTTTATTTTGCGAACACTGGCACTTTTTTTTAACTTTGAACCAATGTTCTTTTTCAAACGAATTCTCTGAATAGAAGTTTTGTAACGTTGCCACTTCATGCACTTAATTTTGATACGAAATGAGAAAATGAAATCTACATGATTTCCTCCATTTCGTTTTTGCACTTCTTTTGTATGTATACGATATGTGTGTTTCATTTCTTTTGTACACATTCTTCTTTCACATATCACGCGCTCACAAAGGGCAATTGTTTGCACGTCTTATTCGCGTTTGCTTTCTTCAACTCGGCACTTTTTTGCTCATCTTTTATTTTATCACATACACAAACGCACACAAACACACACACACACACAAAGTACAATTGCCAATGACTCTTTTCTCGCCGCTTTCGATTGTACAAACAATACGTGCGAGACGAACGAGCGTTGGTGTGTATGCGTGTCGCATTGTGTAAATTACGATGTCATATTGGTGTTTCAGCAATAGTGTTAACGATGTAAATTTTTGTTCAGAGAGGTAACGTTAGTGTCGCAAATATTCCGGCGTTACGTCCTGTGACTATGTGTGGCAGTGTAAATCTGTCTTTATCTTAAACTGAGTGTAAAAATGAAATGATTCGAATAGAATATAATGATTCTATTTTAACAGTGCTGCTCTTTTAACTTTGGTTTTGAAGCGCTTTTTTTCACGAGCTGGAATTGGAAAAAGGTCATGTTTTTATAGGAATTTCACGACACATTTATTTAGTTAGTTCAGCTTCCTTTTTTGTTGGTATTCTTTGCATTCAATATTTTGTTTTCAAACGGTTTTCTTTCCCTTTCATGCTATTATTCTGGTTCGTTTTCTCTCTATCTCTATCTCTATGTTGGTTGAATTTTCCTTGCATTGATATCTAACTAAAATCGACTGAGAAAAAGTTGGTTCATTTTCACAATCAATCTACCAAACAAGTAAAGCATGACGATAAAGCTCTAACACTATCAATTTACGTTTAACAAGAAACCAAAGGGGAAAAAATCCATTTCAAAAAATGGCATGCATAAAAAACACAAATTTATGGACAAAGTACACACAACGGATACCATTGAATGAAAAGAAAATGACGTTATCAAAACAGGAAATGACAGATAGACGAACCTATGTTAAAACAGCTATTAAAATTATTCTAGATGACATCATAATCACATCAATTTTTCTAAATACGAAAAACCTTCGGAAAAATGCCATCATTTTATAATGTGCTTCATTCGGAATATTTGTTGTTGTTTTGTACGTCGTTCGTCATTGATTTGATTTCATCGTTGCTTCTGTTGTCAGTCGTTTTGGCGCTAAAATCAACGGCAATTGCACTTGTACCGTGAGGTGAATTGAAATGACTTTAATTTAGTTGAACTGCATGTAGTCGCATTCGAGAATCATAATTTACATATGCGACAGCCATGTCAAAGCCAGTGTTCCTCGATTTTTTTTTTTTTTTTGTTAATATTTTTTTTTACATATGCAAATATGCTACTCATATATATTTGCCCGTGTATTTTCTATTATACCGCAGAGGAGTCGTGAAGCGTGCATTAAGTATATTTTATGAAACCAACTCTTCAAATGGATTACCGAAAATTCAATTTGCACCATTTTTCAAATATCCCAGTGCATGTATTTATTTTAATTATCACACAGACTCAAGAGAAGAAAAGTAATCTGTCAACAGCATTACGACCATCAACACAGGCAACACATTTGACGGAACAAAAAGTGAAACGAACAAAATTCCAAAAAAAATTACTTCATTCAGTAACAGATAAAACAGCGTGACAGCACGAGATGATACTCATACGTTGATACAATAAGTCTACTGAACGGAGAACAAAATCCGGTTCATTTGTGCGCCACCAAAACACTGCAGAGGCATCGAGTAATTGTATGGCAACAAAATTGACAAAAATTACCTTTAACTCAAGCCAGATTAATGCACTGTCTCCCAATGGGGCGAATCGCAAATATGATGAACCATTGAATAACGGTACCTGTAAACGAACGAACGAACAAATGGTTAGAATACGAAATTTGATATTTGATAATATTTTATGTATGTGAAGATGATGACTGATGACATTTTCATTCAAATGGTGTTGTGTAGTGAATAGTATACTACGATACAGTGAAATCCATCGTTGACTGCCTGACGATTTTTATTACATAGGCCGACAAGCACACAATTCGAACGAACTGAGAGTAGAGTACGAACATACAACGAGATACATGTTTACTATCACTAATCGTAGTCTCGATAGTACACATAAAATAATAGCTGGAGCATGAGAAAGATTGCACCGTACTCGACGACGAGAACGACTGCACAATTCGGTTGGACATAGAGTGCGAGGCAATGGATGTAAGTTTTGAGCGGATATTGGACGGGTAGCAGTAAATTGATGTAAATATGTACATTCTCTCACGAGCCTGTGCCGTTTATTGACGATGGATGCTCCAAATACCACTGAAGCCATATAATGAATTTTGTATGAATAACCAAAGTGATAGAAATATGTAGGGGTGTGTGTGTGTGTGAGAGAGAGGGCGTCTTGTGGAGGCAAACAAGAATGTGAGCGAACGACGACGCAAATGCAAAGTCACCTGGGCCAATTATCATGTGTATGGGATACATGTTATATTTAACGCTTTCATAAAACCATCTCCTTTCAATATTAAACGAGATATACCGCTAAACCGCTTTTTCCATGCTCTGACTCGTTTTTCTACTCTCAGTGCGACTCTCATTTAAACTTCGGATGTAATAATAAAATGTAAATTGTTTCTAATCGTTGAAGTGATGACAAAATTTTTGCGCCAAAGATTCCGAAATTATGAACGAGACACTTTAATAGTTTTATTTAGTTGAAAATTAATAGGACTTCCGTGAATCGTTTATGCGACAAAATTTTGCCGAAAATTGAATTTCATGTTGTTGTGTTTAAATGTCACCAATACGATTATTGGCACCACATCCATACGGCTACAGATTGTTGGGTACGAATGTCATGAATAATTGAATGTATAAGCACTTAAACATTTTGTTGGGGTTGAGTTTAATTTAAATAGAAAATTACCTGTAAGTCGAGTCTCATTTCACAGAGATCGCCTCCGAATCCAAGCGGACATAAACAAATTGCCCCTTGGTCAGATGGCAAACATTTGCCACCATGTCTGCACGGAAATCGGCCGCATCGATCAATCACACATTCCTCTGCAATGATAAAAAAAGAGACGAAAAATAAACATTTTACACATTTAATTCAATTCAAATGCAAATAAGCATAATCTTTCAAACTTTTATTATTTGATTCTGGCGTTTGTGCGATTTCATTCTGTTCTTTTTTCTTCTCTTAGAGATGGATTTTTTTTTTAAATAAAAAAAGCAAGGGAATTTTGATTCCCATATGCAAAAAAGTGACTCACAGTCAGTCAAGTATAAATAAATTAATTCGACTACAACTGATACGATACAAATTGATTTCCATAAAAATTTTCAACTCATCACAGTCGGTGACTTGAACTATAAACTTGACTCTATTTGCCTTATTTTGTTTGAAACACTCACATATATAGACAGTCAAAACGTCCCAAATAAGCAACATTTTTACACACGGGTTTTTCATCATTCGAATGCAACGAATACATCGCATAAAATGAAATCAGTTTCCAAATTTTCTTTTTTAAATTTGCAACTCGGCAAAATGTTCGCCGAACACTTGATGCTTCAAGAGAAGTCGCCTATGTTGCACAAAAAAACCCTATAAAAACGCATCATTTATTTGATTGGAAATTAATGTTAAAGAACTCTCGTTTACGTCACAAATCATAAATTTCATTCCATTTATAAGTTTTGATCGGTCTCGGTCGGTCAATTTGCCATTTGTCTACGCTGATTCTTTTTCTTTTTGTTCAATTGTATTTCCTACATCTTTCGTCTCTTTTCGTAATGCGATACCATTAAATTGCACTTGAAATTTTTCCGATCAGTTCCTTCAACTTTTCAACCTCATGATTGCTTGCGTTGTCTGAATTTCATCATAAATTATTATCTCACTATGTCAATGACAGTTTTGTGCGTTGTTCATATACCAACCACCACCATCAAACCACAAATAAATAATAGATTCTCATTTCCATTTTCATTGAAAGTTTTCTTTTCGACATTCTTCCAGATATTTTAAGGGAATGAAGATTGCGCATATAGAGAAGAAGACAGAGGCAGAAGCTAAATCGAGGAAAAAGAGACTTGCAACCCCACCGTTTGGAACATGCATTGTATGATTCATGCAGATGCTTTTAAAATGAGTATTGACTGATGAAAAAAGCCACCGAAACTCGGCATTCTCGCTTCACGCCACATCTCTTTTCACTCATCTTTTTTTATCCTTTTCTCCATTTCTTTTCTTTTCGGATGACGAAAGAACATTTTATTGCATTTTGCATTGCAGTATGTTTGTCTAAATGCGTGTAAATGATACACGTTTTTTGTTCCCATACAAAATATATGGGTGCAAAGTGCATACTTCATAATCCACACGTACGTTGAATGCAATGTTTGCCTAGTGGATTTTCTTAGCTGATTATTACGGTAATAAAAAAATGACGTCGTTACTTAAGTCGAAAAGGCTCGATCTGATCTTGGTTCTTGTTTTTTTTTTTCAACGGTAGTTGCGGCAAAGTGCAGAATATTACATCATCACATTTTGTGCAATGAAAGGAAGCGATAAAAGTGAGTGAATTTTGCACATACAAAAAAAAATGTAGTTAAGGTCGACTGCAGAAAAAAGGCAGAGAAACTAAATTATAGACAAACTTTTTCATTAGCATATGAAAGTGTTTTAAGTTACCCCAACAATCTTGAATGTAAAAGTTGAGGAATTGCATGAATGGCATACGAGCGCTCCGTTTACGGCCACCAATGATGTTCCCAAGCATTTCAAGTTTTGAATGAACGTGCATGATGTATACCACAACTTGATCATGAAGGCATCAAAAAAGGGGACGATAGCAAAAATGCACACTCAACCAAAAAAAACACAACTACAACAACCAACAATACCGCATAGTCACACCTTGCAACCAATTTTCGTGTTTTATACAAATACTCGGCTACAGATTTGCATATGACACTTATTGGTGGAATTCATGGTTGGTTAGAGTTGGTTTGAATTTACCCACATTTTAAAACTCTTTGTTTTCCAATGCGTCTTTGTTATTCACATTTCATGTTACTGTTTTTATATATTCTCATTCGCCACTATTTTCTTCGTCATTTCGTGTATTTTTGATTTGTACTCTCTTGCACTGTTACATTATACGGCGTGATAGTCGTCGATGACGCGATTGCAACAACAACAACAAAAAAATGCATAATGCAAATTTAAACTTGCAACTCAAATAAAAAGATCTACTTTTTTGTGTGTCTATATTTCAATGAAAAGTAGAAATTGCAGATAATATAAAGTTGATATATGTTTGTATTTTATCGTTGAACACAAAAAATCATTCAAAATTCTCTTCGTCACCTCATTTTTGACACAGTTCCAACTCATAGCTTCTCTTATGGACGGAAATTCATAGCGCGATATTATGGCATGCATTCAACATTGTTGCCGCATACATTGCAGTTGATTTTTTGTCTTGTTGCTGCTGCCATATAGCTGTTGCTGCTTCATACATACTATATGAATTCATTTTGTCCATTTGTTAACGCTACAAACCGTAAACTGAAATCCGAAAGAGATTTAGATCGTTGTTTAAAAGATCCGCTTTCTTGTATCGTCCGCATTTTCAAAACGATATTCCCCCAGATTGTGGTGACACGCGATTTAATTCTTTTGTTTATTTTAGTGCAACCCAAAACGACCGGTGTTGATTTATGGTGGTTACAACGTAGAGTTCACCTCGTTTTTTGTGTGTCATCATAAATATTTTGTGCCCAATTTTGATCGGCATAAAATTGTTTATCCATCACATTGATTTCAACTTAATTGATTTATTATTCATAGCTGGTAATATTTCATCGGTTAATTGATTGCACTCGGTGGCAATCAATGATTCAAAAATTTTGATAATATATTCGTTGCGTCGACATTTGAATTATATTAAGCCATATTTGGTGTTGAAGGTAAAATTTTGTTTATTTTAATCAAAACTGTTCGGTGTTCAACGATGGTTAAGTGTTGTTGTATATTTTATTTGGGTGTCATTGAAAAATTGAATGGACTAAGTGCTAATCTGAGAATTTGCCAAAAATTTGTTCAAATCGATTTTTCGTTATCATTTCAAACATTTTACACATAATGAAATGCTGTTGACCAAATGCACAAGACAAAATTGAAAAGGGCTAGAAAAAATAAATACACATGCTTAATAAGGCATTTCCATGGAAAATTGCACTGGGAATTTGTATCGTTTACTATTTTTACTTGTTCACATTTTTGTTGTGAGTTCACTTTGGCTTAAGTGGGGTTTTTTTGAACGATTTGTCTCGCTTTCTCTGTGTCACCGTTACGATCACATTTATCCATAGACAACCTAAGTGTTATCATTGGGTGCGTTGATGTATATTGAAAAAAAAAGAAAGGATTCAATATTTTCGAAGAAAATATGTTCAAACTCATGGATCTCAGACATCGACACAGACGAGCACAATGTGGTCATAAAAAAGAATCATATAAAATTGATAGTTTATTGCATTTGCTACAAACCGAAAATGTACATCGTACGGCTTTTGTCCTTGGCTGGGATTTAGCTTTCTATTGAATTTACATTTGCTGCAGTATTTGTACTTTTTCTCTCCCACGTTCTTCTGCATCTTCTTTCGCTTTGTTGACATTATAGCTTGTGCTATCTGTTTTCCGTTGGGTATACACAAACGTTGAATGTCACAAAGTCAGAGTATATAGCAAACGAGATATCAAGAAGAATGATAATAAAAAAAAGAACGGAGTGTATTTTGAGAGTATAGGAATGGCAAGTGAACAGAAAAAGCTATTGAAATAGCCATTTTCCGCATAAGTGTTTTGCAGAATCATTTATAGCCAATGCCGGTGTGATTTGAACCGTATTTTCATAATCGTTTCATATTTCGGCCCAATTTTGATGCCCAAACACATATATTAGATCATTTGCTCATCTATTTTTCTAGCACACATGTACATTAATGGCATGTGACATCACAGACCAGTTCACAGACCACACCACCAAAACTATCCCTCACAAATATGGCTGTGTTATATGAAGACATGACGAAGCAAAGTGAATATAAAAGCAGCACCCATCATCATCGTCGTCGAAATAGTCGTCGTGGCTTTATTAGACCAATATATTTATCCCGGTTTTTCTCGAAATTGTTCCATGCGGTTCCATGTCACAAATGGTGGAAGAGATATTTATTTTTCGTTATGAATGTGTTTTCGGTGGTAGATTTAACGCGAAAACGCATGTTAAGCGACAAAGCAAGAAAATATATTTTACACTGTTTGCTGTATGCTATGTATACATCACACGTAAAATATACCGTTTTCTAACCAAAGAAAAAAAACCAAATGAAATACATTCGAGACATAGAGCCTTACTACAGCACAATGAATAATGGTGACAATGTGGTCGTCGTCGCCGTTGTCGTCATCACTAAAGACATAATAGTTAGGCCACCAAGCACGCTCTATATTTCTTTCATTCTTCTCTGCAAGCTACACTCTCTTGACTCATGAACCGATACGCTCCCACCATAGAGAGCAACTTTACTGCTTGAACAGGTAAAAAATAAAGAATAACATAAGATTGTAAACAGAATCTACCACTTTTCACTTGGATTTCCTGCTTCTTTTCTTCTTTTATAGTTGTCGCGGTTTCTTTCTTTTTTTTTCATTTACAAACACACTCACCTATTGGAATGAAAATCTCGCTGCAATTTATATCTTTGCATTGTAAACATTCATTTTCATGGATAAAAATGAGAAACAAGTAAAGTTATCATATTTACAATTTCAGTTTGTGAACACTACAATCAAATTCATATATAATATACACAGAAGCGAGCTTATCGCAGAAAAAGATAGAAAACGTAAAGCATACGGTTCGTTTATAGACGTGGTTTATGTTTTTTTAAAGCGCGCGCACACACAGACATACACCGTTTCCATACCACGCTTGTACATGACTTAATGCTTAACGCATGGCAAAAAGTGAGTACAAAAATGTTTG